AGTTTGGGCTGCCCCACGATGGGCTCAGTCCCACCTTGAAGGCTCCTGTATAAGGACCATTCTCTGCAGATGTATTTTGCTGTATGCAACAGTTGGAAGAAACACTTAAAAGCCTGGATCGGTGGTGCACTTCAAGAGCAGCTCAGTGGAGCAGCACACAGAGAAAAATTACACGGGCAACTCGGTAGCAAAATAATCACAGCCACGTGAGAAGGAGACACTGACGCCTGTCGCTGTCGGCTGCTTCGGGGTTGCTGCAGATCCCTTTCATGGGATATGGCTGCATGATCCCAGCACAGGATCCCTGCTTGGTGCAGGGAAGGAGGGATCATGCTGATGCCTCACTGTTTAGTGGGGCTTTGGGCGCTCATGCGGAGACCTTCCCTGCAAAGGCCGTTTCCACGTGTCTTCCAAACAAAGTCCAACCCATAAATTATTCTTAAATCAGGAGCAGCTGGTTCACATCCCAGTCCTCCACTTATTTGTCATGCTTCTGGGAGCTGAAATACGATTTGCTATATGGTACCCTTCCCATAGTCACCAACGGTCTTGGAACTCATTGCACAAATAACCTGCAGGCTTGCCTGTCCTCCCTTAAGGTGTCCAAATCCCTACAAATTCAAGGGTTTGTGGGGTGTGTGCCCCATGAAGGGATGTACAAACCCATCTGCATCTCTCTGCACCCAGCTAACGTGGGTTTTACAGAAAAAAGCCACCTTGTGAATGACAGACTGTAGTTTTCCTGGGTTTGGTACCAAAAGGGTTGTCCTGTCCCAAGTGCTTGTGCTAGGATTAAGCAACACGACAAGTGCAAAAAAAGCAAAGTTGTCCCAAAGTTTAGTTACGGAGGAAATTTTCTCTGATAAACCTTGAGCATTTGCAGCCCTTAAAGTGAGTCATTCCCAGAGCACTAAAACAAGTGCAAACCAGTGAGGAAGAATTTAAGAAGGATACAGTTCATAAGCGAAGGTCACCGAGGAGAGCGAACGCCACCTGAGCCCACGTTCTAACGAAGCCTTTTTCCGGTGGAACAAATGAAGTCCCTTAATTACCATTTTGTAAATAAAATCTTCTTGGAAAATCAATATTTAGAGCCTGCCTTCTCTGAAGATGTTGGCCTTTGTTCCTTGCTATTAGGGCAATATAAACCCCATAGTGTGATATACTTCTAGGCTGAAAATTACCCCTGAACCTGATTGGGTCAAAGGAAGAAAAGCAATAAACCTTTCAGAGCAGTAATTTGGGTACTATTTCATGCTTCCTTGTAAATTTTGAAGTAATAACCAAGAAAGCATGATTTTACACAAGCCTACAATTAACTCAGCCAGTAACTGCCCTTCCTCCTCCAGCCTGTTTTCGGGATGGGCTGGTGATGCCGGGTGGGAATTTTGCTGGAAATGCCTATTACACCTCCCAGGCATTTGGATCGTGATTAATCTGAATCAGCCCAGGAATAATACGGGGATGGCTCCACCAAAGTCAAAAAGGCTTCATCAGCTTCTCCATCCAAGAGCATGGTCCAGTGCAGCACCACCACAACAGCTATCGGCTCCATCCCCAATCCAGGGATCTCATGGCAAGACAGCCCCATCATCAGCTCCTTCAGTGATTTTTATTCACAGCTTTTAATGGAAAACCCCAGAATTCCCTATGCCTGAGCCTTCATGCATTTTTCATTAACAATTATCCGCTATCCCAGAACTGCTTCTGATTTTTGCTAATCATCGATTGGATATTTTGTTCCCACACAGCTGGCATTTTCAAAACATAACAACCACCTCCGGAGAGGGCACAGCAGAGGGCTGATCTTTAACGCTAATGTGCCCAGAAACCGTCAACACATCAGGTGATGAGATTTCACAACTGAGGGACCACGAGGGAAGAGGTATTTATTGGACGCAGCCTGTGAGGCTTATTTTACTGTGCTGAAAGGCTGGAAGTTGCTTAGCAAGTGACCAACTGATGTCGTAGCAGCAGCCACATCCAATCTGCAGTGAATCCAGTCCTGAAGCTGCTGTCCCATCTCAATGGCCATGGGCTTCTGAAGTCCCCTGACCTTGAGGGTTTGTCTCCTTGGGTTTGCAGTTACTACATATGAGAGACAGCGTGGGGGGATGTAGATGCCAAAGGGCCCTTCACAACTTTGTGAAGCAACAGTTTGATGGACAGATCTTCCCATCGGCTGTAGGTTTGTGCAAACACGTTACTGCCCGCAGGAGTGATGCCTCAAGCGGAGGCTGTACTTGCAAAGCTTGCAAGAGCAGAGCAGCATCTCGAACGCACCATGTTCTGCAGGTCTGGACCTCACTTCTAGCTGTGTTTGTTTACAAGAACGAAGTTGCTCATAATGATACATTTTGCAATCAATTAACACATGATATGATTTGGGATGATTTACTCTTTTTTTCTAAAAATCCCTTTGGGGGCATTCAGACCTTTATTGCCATATTAAACAGAGTTTTAATCCAAATGAATTTTCTAGCAAACCATGTAATCTAATTAAAAAGCTTATAGTGCAGTTTAGTAGCTTCATTACTAGTAGATTCGAGATCCATCTTTATACGGACAAATATTTTCCAAGTGCAATAGACTGATAAATGCAAGGCATAATCACAAACTGATTCTGCCTGGAACTAAGTGGGTTACAGCACTTAGTCACGCCCATGAGAATGAAACAAAGGACAACTTGAAAAAGCTCAGAAAAAGAACGCAGCCATTGATCTGTTTCCTCCAATTCATGGAGCACCCAGCCCTGCTGTACCAGCGAGGGCATTCTTCAGACTGACAGCTTTGGAAACCACCAGGAATAGCCACTTGCCTGAAGTTGAGGGTCAGAGTACTCCAAGACTAGTGCGAAAGAAGCCAAAAGTTCAACATCGTCAAGTACGATGGCCTTAGGGCTCAGCTTTACAATCATGTTACTATAGCTTGAGAAGATGCCACGTGTCAGCTGAGCCCCAGTAACTGGCTGAGCTCCCCCAGCCTGTGCCAGATGCAATGTAATCTGATCATTTGGCTTGCAGTGGAAAAGACTGACGCTAAATTGCATTAAATGATTGCCATAAGAAAACGATTACAGCTATGTTCGTCAAGTCGCAGTTCCCATCCACGTGTAGCGCAGTTCCAGGCACAGGGGCCTGGCCAGGAGACATGACCATGACCAAAGACCCTACTTTTACCTTCCCCAAACAGTGAAGAGGAATGATTTCACAGGCAAGACATCTGGGCGAGACGCAGAGCTGGACTCAGTGTGAGTTTTGTCATGGATTTAATGATCATTTGTAAAGTCTTCGGTCACTTCTGACTCCTTTTCCTGGTCAATAAAAGGGAATGCACTGATTTCCCTTCTCCCATTTCTGCTCTGTTCATATCGTAAAGACAGACATGCCTCAGAAATCCATGCAATGAACTAGAAGACCATGAGCCTGGATTGAGTGACATCTGTATGTGCACACACAAAGTTCCCTGAAGCTCTAAAAACTTCCAGCTTGGAGAAAACCTCCACTGATTGAGAAGATTTTATTACAACTCACACCTTATCCTTTTTGCAACATGCATCCTTCCATCCTTTGTAAAACAAAGCTTTAAAAAAGCCTCAAACCTGAAAACAAAAAGCCATATCATGTAGAAACTTAGAAAAATAAACCCACTCTTCTCCCCTGAGGAACAAGCCATGGTGCCCACGCAGCACTTCCTGACAGTCTAAACTGAAGGTCCGGACCCTCCCGTGAGGTTGGGTAGTTGCATTCATGAGATGCATTTCTTAATATAGATAGCAGCTATATGACACCACAGAGTACAAATCTCTACGAATAATTTAGGTTTACGACACAGGTACTATTATTTTTCAGTATATTGTTCCATGCTATTTCCATAGAAACTATGTTGTCAACTTATAATTTTCACACCAAGTTCATCCCACCATATCATTTCCTCATACAAACATCCCCATCCCCTCGCATGAAAATGCAGTTACTTAGTACTCAGAGAAAGCGCTCTTCCCCGGTGAGATAAAAGGCTGAAGTTTAGTGAAAGTCAGCTTCCATGCAAATATTATTTCAAATGTATTTGCATTTGCACACCCAGGCAGGTCAATGTTCAGGGGTTAAAGTTTGGTTCCTCCACTGTGGAGTTGGTTCCTCCACTGCCAACTCCAGGAACAACATTTGGTCCTTCCAGAAATACCCAGATGATGATCAGGACAAAAGAGAAACTTTTGCTGGGTTCCTGCATGATCAGTCAAAGTCTAATGCTGAGGTGCTGGTACAATAAAGCATGAAGCGCTGAAATGTAAGCCTACAAAGAGCAGCTAGTAGGACTGGAGCAGTGTCTTAGTATATCAAAGCCCAAGTTGAGTCTACAGATCTGCTTCTGAACATTACTACCTTTACATTAGCTCTTTGCTAATGCAGAAAGCAAGCCAACATCTCTCCCACTGCCCTTTCCACTGGAGTCCAGATAGTTCAAAATAATGGCTTTTAATTCAGCCTCTCTCAAAAGCAGGATCAGGGAGCACTGCATCAGTCCAAGGGATGCGTGACAGCAACCCACCTCACCTGCCGAAGCCCTTTTCAAGGCGCTCAAGCCGCAGGGCTGGAGTCTCTCTGGATCACTCATGCCTGTCTCGGCCCCAAGCACATTAGCCATTGCCCAGCGCAATGGGGCTACAGCAAAAGCAGGGCTTGCACAGCTTACCAGGATGTGTTGCAGACCCCACTACTCTCTGCCAGCCTTCACTGACCAGTCCAAAATGAACTGCTGCACACATCTGCCTCAAATCCGCTGTCTGCGCAAAAGCTGAAGCCTGTGCGAGCTAACTTGCTCTTTGCCCAAGAACTACCTGCAGGGACAGCTATTTCTGGACCATCAGGTAGGTGATGTCAGTCCTCCATCCGTGGTAACTCCAGATTGACGCTGGGGAATGGCACAACCCAGCCGTGCGTCTCACAATGCCCTCCATCCCGTGCTGCAGTGCCAGTGGCCAGTGCATGAGGACTTACCTGTTGTTATTCTTCAGCTTAATGTGGTCGCTGGTCTCCAGGATCTGCCCGTTCTTCAGCCAAGTGATCTGTGGTGGGGGTTCCCCTTGGGCCACGCACGTGAAGATGGCAGTAGTTCCCACAGGCCTGGAAATGGACTGGGGATGCTGCACAAACTCTGCAGGGGCTGCAAGGAGGAAGGAGAAGGAGGGTGAGAAAAGTCATGATGATCCTGGTATAAAGAGCAACCTCATAGCTTGGGCTTCAATAAGCCTCGTCTGCTGGGAACATGGGATACTTGGCCAACCCACAGCATAAGCAGCAGATAACTATGGTTTGGATGGTGTGTCTGTAATCAATGCAATGCTGCAATTTGGTTGCCCATCCTGGAAGTCATGGCTTCATAGAAGGCACCTGAAGGTCAGCTCAGTACTGTATGGAGAGCCAAGGTGAGTCCTGCAGGGTTCAGGCAAACAGCATCAAGGTCTAAGCCCCCTCACCTCTCCCCAGTCTCCCACTGAAAGCAACTCCAATGCTGCAAAATAATCCATATCTGACCAAGATTATTTAAAAATGCATCCTGCCTGTTAGGGGAACAGGCTGGAAGGTCAGCAGTCTCCGGTCGTTTGCACACATGTAAAATGGAAGGTGTGCATAACCCTTCATAGTGAGTGGTACCACGCAGGGCCATTGCCCTGGCAGAAACAAGCCCTCTGCTATGGAAGCTTGCCCAAATCAGCACGTATTGAGAATACAAAAAGTGGTAAGGAAGGAAGGCTGCAACTACATGTGGCAATTATAGTATTTGCAGTTGGGGAGATCTGCTGTTTCATCAACGGCAGAGCGAGAGCAATGCCATGGCTTTGCCCAAAGGACCCGTACGGCATTAGCAAACTGCTTGCAAATGGAAAGAAATGTATGGATGTGCATACAGCAATCTGGCAGGTTGTTCTTTCCCCAGTAAGTATCAGATTTGCTGCAGACTATCCTGGTAGCAATAGACTGGGGAGCCTTTTTTACCCCAGATCTGCAGCCTGGGACCCCTGGGGTCCTGCCAAGCCTGGCAGAAGACTCCACCATCCCTGTAACTGCTGCTCACCTCATAACCAAATGTTTTCACCTTTAACAATAACGTTTTTAAACGGAAAGTGATTTCCTCCCTTCTAGCAGCTCAAAATAGATTTAAAATCATTTATCAGAATAAAACAGTGTATCAGTGTACAGAAAGCAGGGCCTGAAAGACACTGCCAAATTGGTGAGTTTATTCAAACAGTTACGCTTCAAAGGGCAAAGTGATAAATATACCCCACATTGCAGCTGAAACCTAAAATCAGGTGGAACTGGCAGCAGCCGCAATGAAGGCAAACAGATGAGAGGCACGGGCCCGTAATGAATTTACCGACCAGTGTCACATAATGGATGGCTGGCATTAAATTTTCCCGACAAAAGCAAAATTATCCAGGGAGACGCGCTCAGTGCCACTCGCTGGCATTTTCCAAGCATGGGCTTGGTGGGCTCTGCCACCAGCAGAGATGTGGGGATGGGAGAAGGAAGCAAACTGGTCCAGCCAAATGTGTTGAGGGGTGGCCAGGCTGCAGGCGAGAGCAGCTATGCAAGAGCAGAGCCCTATGGTTCATGGCCAAAAAAAGCCCTCAGGGTTCGCTGCAGGAGCATGGGGTGATAAAGCTCTTCCCCAGCTGCATGCATGCAAGGGAAGAGCATCGCTACTGCTGCAACAAGGCCAAACAGCAGCAAAAGGTGCTTGTGTGTAATAGCGAAGTTATGCACGTTATAAGTCCTGCAAGCAGAAAGACACAGAAATTCATTGAAGAGCCCGTCTACCTCAAAGGAGCCCCCTCTTTCATTTTTAATAATCAAAGGGAAGCGGAGCATGGCAGGTCTGACTTATGTTAGCGGTAGGGGGTGTCCACCGGCAGAGTTTATTGTCAGGCCACTTCTGTCGGTGCTCGGGTCTACTAATGAACCTGATCTCAGCAACATAATGGACACATATTTCCAGAACCTCCTGCTAAACTTCCCCACGAGCCAATCGATCCCTTGTCCTTTATCTCCCTCCTATGTTTTTCCCCCTCTAGACTTATAAATTAAAATAAAATTCAGGATGTGTTCAATAAAAGTTGGAAGCATGGATAGACAGGGGGAAAAACCTCTCATCCCTGCAGTGAATGGTCCCTTTGTGGCGTACAGTGAGAGCATTAGAGACTTGATTTTCAAGACTTCCTTAACCTCCCGCCCCCCGCTTTGTGCTGGCGCGGTTTTGCGGGAGCAATTATTTTGCAAGTGGCTGTGCACCTCCCTGCTTTCATCTGGGCTCACAAGTTGCACCCGCGATACTCGCAGGTGCAAGCCCACGATGCCAAGGAAGGGCACAGCCATCTTCCAGCTCCTTCCTGCAGCTTCATTAAAGATCCTGCTGCTTGGCTCTTTGCCTCTGCCTCCCCCCCTGCTTCACCAAATCTCAAACCCGCCATTTGTTCCAGCGTTTAAATATGGAAAGAAGCATCCGGCGTAACCCTTCTGGAATCGCCGGCTCTCCTTATCCTCCCTTATTAGCCCGTGTCAAGAGGGAGTAATTGGAGCGGTGTCGCGTGTGACTCGGGGGTAACGAACGTGCAGCTGCGGCCGCTGGCTCGGTGCCAGCGATGCTATTCAGGACCGCGACCCCTCGGGTTCCTCGAGTCCCTGCTCCCCTCCACCGTCCCTCCTCTTCGCTGTCTCGCTAAACACAACCAGATCAAAACCCCATCCCCTGTTTAACTTGCTTAAACCCTCTGGGGAGCAGACAGCCACTCCTTCAAACAGCCCCCACCTCTGCTGTGCCAAGCTGTCCCTGCTTGGTGGCATCCGTTGCTGCAAGGCACGGGATGCCCTTCTGCTGTTCCTGCTCCTCCTGGCTTTCTCCAGGAATCACTCTGTCCTGCTCAGGTCTCACCCTCCTCTTTTGGGGGCAGAAGGAGCAGCAGTGTGGAGCTGTAGCGGCAGAAGGGCCCAGGCTGCAGCAGAAACTCATGGAACTCATGAAACTCCCCATCACCAGCTTCCGACAGCATCAGAGAAAGGACATGGTCCAGGTGCCAACAGGGTCTTAACATGGGGACAGACACTGCTGCAAGGAGATGCCCCTCTGCTACCCCGAACCAGGATGCACCCGACCCTGCGTTCATCCCAGCGTCCGCAGGCAGAGTGCCCTGAGGCGGCTGCTGGTGCAAGGTCTCAGGGCGAATGGCCCCTTTCCTGGACAGAAGAACATCTGCTCTCCTCCCCCTGGGTCCTCCCTGCCCTTTCAAATAAAAAAAAGTTTGCCACCCCTGGCCCTGGGTTAGCAGGAAAGGAGTAGAAGCAAAGCTCTGCCTGCTGCCAGCCCTGCCTGCTGCCAGCCCTCCGCCCGCCTCGTCATTCATAATTAATAGAGCATCTTGTCAGAGCTCATCTCGCCCTGCACAGAGGTGCAGCGGCCTGAACGCCTCTACCCCTTCCACCCTACATGCCAAAAGGCCATTGCAGGTGGCGAGAGAAAGCGCTTCTCTGCCCTCCATGAAGATCTTAATGAAGATATTAATGAGGATCACTTTTAAGAGCAGAGGATTCAAACCTGGCAAGGAGGAGTGGGCAGGATCCAGCCCTGGCTTGTGAAGTATGAAGAAACTGGAGTGTTGATAATTCAGGCCTTAATGGGAGGAGATCATGCAATTTTAATGAATATTTAAAGGCGTGACATTGGTATCAAAAAGCAATAATGCTTAATACCACCCCCAGAATCGTTAACGAAGTGCTTCAATAGCTTTTACTGTGCTCAACAAACTGTGATAGCATGAAGATGCACTGTAACAGCGGGTTGTAACGGGAGACCCAGACAAGCTCCACCTCTTTCGGGACATCTCATCTCAGTGACCAGCCACCAGCATGTCTCCCAAGATAACAGGGAGCTTCGCTGCCCTCGCCGTGAGTTTGCAGCGTGGTGCTTACGGCAGAGCCTGACAGCTCACTGAGAAGGGCTGTCCTAAGGAAGGGCGTCCCAGGGGAGCACTGACAGCCCGTGCACTGGGGCCAGACGAATCCTTGCACTTCGGTATGAAGCCGTCATTAATTCTCAAGTAGCCAGAGCGGCAGGGTGAGGGAGAGAGGCTGGGGTGAGGAGAAGGAAGAATAACATGGAAACAACAAAATCTCATAAATTAGGCTACAGGAACCTACAATAAAGGTATAATGGAGAAGACAGGTCAACGGGTAAGTCAGTCAAGCACAGCATCAGATGACAGGAGATTTAAGACAAAGAACCGCTGCCCACTTGGCTTCTCTCTATTGACTACAGAGGATGCCCAGATGCTTCCGTAAGTAACTTAAATAGTTAAGTTGTAGAGCTGATGAGATTGCTAGGGCCAAAGATGGAACCCATGACCGTGTCCCCCCAGAAACAGGCAGAGACCACTCAAGTAGGCTGTCATGGAGGCTGTCTATCAGTCCTCAGTGGGTATCATGAACTTCTTGTCCAGGCCAGGTGCAGGCTGGAGCTCCGCAGCAGTGGGATGTCACCTACTGGTATGCTCCTGGGAGGATGCTCCGGAGGGCTCAGGCACGCCAGCTCACTCCAGCATCCTGACAGGCAAGATCCAAGTGCCCACCTGTCCCTGCGTGGTGGCTTTTCTTGAGAAGGAAAACATGGGCAGGAAGGGGACGGCTCCTTGGGGCACACTGACCCATGCAGCATGTACTGAAGCTGTTTTTGCAGCATGAATTTAGGGCTAAGCTCGAGGGCAAACCAAATACCACAGAGCCAAGCATAAAACACAGCAACAGCAATACATCTGCTGATGAATTCAACCCTGCAGCCAAGGCTTGCAATGCCAGCGAGCAAGAACGATGGAAGAAACATCAGGAAACACAGCGGTGGCCGGATCTGCTGGACCAAGGAGCGCTGCCCGGTTCTGCCGGCAGAAAGCAAGGCGAACAAGGCAGTCATTGTCAGCAGAGCCTTCAAAAACATGTCCTTAAGATGGGCACTCATTTATGAGATGGGATCTCATTTTTCTGCATAGCTTTCAGGAGGAAATGAAGCGTGGAGTGGAGAACACTGGTGACCATCTGGCCATTCACAGCCCATCAGTTTGTTATGACACCAAACACATAATAAAGCACAAAAGATTGCACAGGAGGTAGAGAGAAAGCGCTTTGATTTTTTTTTTTTTCCTTGCCACCGAAGCCTGCTCCTCCCTTGCACCACACGCACGCATACCCTCTGTTTCAGCCGGCGATGCATTCGGCCCTTCGACAACTCCCCCCGTAAGACTTTCATTCGCAGCCTGGCACAAAGCAATATTCAAATGGCTGTGCCGGGATCTGAAGAGAAAATGGAAACTTTCTTGTGTGAGAACCTTACAAAAGAGATCAAAGGAGCCTAAATGGCCAGAGGAGGGCAGGGAGGGAGGGAGCGGGGGATTGATGCCTTCTCCTCCGAAGGGAGAAGGAATTGCCAGAAAGATAATAAGACGATGTTAGATGACTGGAAGGAGAGCCTGCAATGCAAAAGGACGTTATCCCCGGAGCAAGAGCAGAGCCCTGCCCCAGGACACCTCTGCCCACGCGGTCGTGATGGGGACGAGGACCAACGCTGGCAGCAGGAGGTGGTCTCAGTCCCAGCCTCCCGTTAACTCCTTGCCTTACAACAGGAAACATCGCCCTTTCTCCCCCAGTTTCCCACCTATAAAACGTGCCTCCTTCAAAAGACAAGGGGCAAGTTAATTTGTGCCTCCAGGCACTTCAAGGACCCCTGCATAAAGGCAGCAAGTACCTGGCCTGGCGTGCTTTGAGAACACTGTATTGTCCTAGCCCTGTGCTAACTTCCTCTCCAACCAGGCTTTTGATAGCCCGCACTTTGCTTTCATTCTCTTTACGGATGTAATTTGCATCGCTGACATCTTGACAAAGATAAAACCCAGTCTCCCATGTCAGTCATTATCGGTGTTTTCTTCTCAGACAAACCTGAACAGCAATCATTTGTACCTCTCAGCTGGAAAATTCAGGCAAAATGAGATTCAGAGGAAGGAAAAGTTGCTTCCAGAGGGAGGGTGAGCAAACCTGGGACGAGTCCAGCTGCCTGGCCAGGGTCTGCCATTAGCTTCCCTGGGGAACGACAGCCCCCCGAAAAACATGAAGCATTTTATGGATGGGCAACACAAGTTGGGGTCCTGGACAGTGCAGCTCATGTCTACACCAAGGACATACTGGCCACGCTTCTTCATACCACTGCCAACTTCTCTGCTAATGCTGAACGCAGGAGCATCCCCCTTCCATAGCAAGGCTGGGCTCCGATGGCCCTGTGATTACCATTTTAGGGACGAATTCTCATCTTGGTTCCCCAGACGAAGATCCACAGTAAATTTACCCCAGATGAACTCCAACACTAGACCAGCTGCTGAGGAGCTGATGTTCAAACCTCCAAAGAGACGGAAAACTGCTGATCTGTAGCAATGAGTTGTGCTACCTTTCCCCCTCTCATCCAATTGCTAACAGGAGCAGTCAACAGTATTCAATAGTTGTATTTTTACAACTTCATAGATTTTACAAGTAATTTCTTTTGGCTCTGCCTGCCTGCCTCCTGTACATCAGCTTTGTGTCTGGGTTTAGTAGACCTCTGCTACATGCACCATGTGCACAGCTGTCCTGCAGTAGCTCTAAAGGGTTTGTATCAGTACAGCGAGGTTGTTCTTAATGCCTGGGTTTGTGTTTCTTAATAAGGGAACTTATAAGTGTGCCCACCACCAGCCAGCTGGGAGGCCCCCTCATTGCATTGCTCACCCAAAAATCCAACAGCAAAAGAAACGTCGAGTTTTCACCTCTTGTTGTGTCTGATCAGCACCTGAGACTCAGGAAGCATCAGCAGCCCTGTATAAGCACCCTTTCTACATTGCTCCTCGTTGCTCCCGAGGCAAAGGGGAAAAGGGAAGCCAGCACCCAGGGACCACAGCTGCTGCCCAAGCGGTGCGGTGCCGGACCACCGTCAGCGACTCCCGGGACCTGGAGGTGAGCATCAGGGCTGGAGCAGGACACTTTCCCCATCACCAGCATGAAAGGTTCAATTAGCTCGCTCCGGCAGGAGGTGTATAATTTTAGATTCAGGATATCATCAGTCAGTGAGTGAACTGATGAGAGCACGAGATGCTTTAAGTGGACTAAGTTGAAGAGGAGGTGAGTGCCTGTAATCAGGGGCGGATTACTGCCATTCAGAGCACGCTGCCAGCTGGGTTTGCCTTCTGAAATACTTGCCTGGCTCCCCTCACCATGGAAACTGGTGGCACGGAGCATGTGGAGGGGATTTGTTTGGTTTCTTGAGTGCTGATCTCTACTCTGGGCTGAATCACCCTTTACAAGTGGCATTTCAGGACAGTTGCTGCGGGGAAGGGGAGCAACCTACATCTCCTGGGAATCTCCCCCAAAGGGTGCTTTACTCATGTTGTAAGGGGCTCAGATACGGTGTTGACTGCTAAAGAAAACAGCTCACTGACTTTTGGAAATGGTTTTAGACTTACTGGTGCCATTTCAGTTGGAGAGCAATACTCTGTGAGTGACATCCACTCCTGGATATCACTGCAGAAGCGATATCTGTCATGCAGAGGGGTCCAATATGAGAACAGTGCCCATGTCCCCATATCACTAAGGACCATGCAAGGGTGAAAGATGAATTTGGCTGATTAATTCAGCCCAGGCTTTCTGCTGAGATGTACAAGTATGATAACAAGCAACAACCGGTGTCTGTTAAGCCAAACAAATGCCTGTGATGGGGTGGGAAACCATTGCAACCCATGCAGCTGAGGCCTCAGTTGAATGATACCTCGTTGCCACTCATCTGCGTGGGACATTGAGACATACACCCACCTGGAAAACCACTTCTAGAAAAGAAGTCCTTTGTCTGATATCATCAGAGAAGCAAAGTCAGCATCTGTCCAACTCAACCCATCGCAGTGCCCAGGCGACACGTAGGGCCTGTGCAGAGGGCACAGGGAAGCGGCCATCACTGCTCCCCGAGCCCCAAGTTTGCTCACCTTGAACAACGAGCCTGCCCTGCGCGGTCCTTCGCACCCGAGTGCCGGGTTTGTTCGCGGCGCACACATAGATGCCAGAATGCTGCACGGTGAGGTCCGAGATCATGAGATTTCCTGTCCCCAGCACCTGGATCCCCTCCACGCCTATCGGGCGGCCATCTGAAAGAAGGGGAAAAGGGTAAGAGTCACATGTTGGACCTTTGAGTGAGGTTCTCCAGGGCACAGTCCTCAGTGAGGTCCAATCTAAATACTTATGGAGTGGTGCCATTCTCTGTTACCGGGATTTGCCAAGTAAAGTCAGTGGGTTTTAGCTGATGCTCTTAGCACAACTGCCTTCTGGAGAAAATCAGGATCCTCATGTGTTTGCCCAAAACCACACTTTGTGCTGCTTGAAAAACCAAGGTCCCATCGCAGGAAATGTGAAAGCTTTCAGCCACATGTTCAGATTGAGATGAAGCATCCAGAACACTTTTCAACAGAACGGTTAAACCAAGTGAAATCATATCAGCTTCTTACATTAGACTGACCAGGGATCCAACCAGCTCAACAGCCTGCTCCAAACAGAGATGCTCTGGGAAGGAGAAGACCAGCCAACCTAGTGCAGTACTTCCCTGATGCATTCTCCCAGCCGCCAGCAATTTATGATTTGGGGATTTCCTGAGCCAGAAGTTATGCCTTTTTGCCTGCTAACTCTTGACGGATTTTTGTGGCTTCAGAGACTATGCAAACATCAGATTTTCAATTCCTTAGCTCTTGAACACACAATAGCTTAGGGCCAAGGAGCCAAACTCTGAGCTGGTGGCTAGATCTGCTCAGCTGCTCTGGCTTGGAAGGGCAACTGGAAAGGGCTGCCTCCATCCTGAGTGCAGGGTTTGAGGCAGGCTGGCAGGAGAGCAGTGATGTTTCCAAAAAACCACGCCTGGGCTCCCGTACAAGGTCTTCAAAATTGAAGCACTTAACGTGAAATAGTTCAGTATCAGGGAATTCACCTTTTTCCAACAAAGCCTGTTTTCACTGGAAAATTCCCAGCCAGCTCTAATTACAATGTGTTTCATTAGTATCAGGCTATTGCTTTTTATTGTTTCATTGGTTTGTGTTTTAAGACACTGTCTGACAAAGGCAGCTCTAAATCAGTCCTAGCATGTGTCAGGGTGTCTGAGCAGAGAGGCAAGGCAGGGGAGTAGTTTTACTGGAGGAGCAGTTAAAGGGAGCACACTTTCATCAGATGGGAAACGGGAATCCAGTTCCTCTCTTGCCTTTGCTCATGAAGGAGGTTAAAGAACCTACAGAAATGGGAGAAGCAAGAACCAGCCGTGGTGATTTCCCCACCTGACCATTCCACGAGCCCTCCATACATGTGTGCTCCGCAACGGCAAAAGAGCCTGTCTCTTCTGCTTCAAAGTTGTGGCTAGTAAAAGGAAAAATTCATCTGAAAAATTCCTCCTGGGAGCTCTATTGGTCTGTGCCATAATCTTGCTAAGGAAATGGAAGAAGCTAAATAAAACCAGAATTGCTCTGTAGGAAGCGATGGGTCATGGGGAAAGATCTGAGATGCCTTAGCTTGGTTTCCACACCTGTAGGTCACCTCCTGAGAGATGCTAGGTAATGGCCGTTCAACCCACTTTAAAATTTATCATCATCCAGTGGGCAGAAAGTTTCCAGGGACATTTAGCGCTGAAGGACCTCAGACTCAGGCTGGTTGTGTGTGGCACACAACCACACTTCAGTGACTGCATCTGGTGTAATCCAGCAACGGGAAACCTTCATGGAAAACACAGAGGAAAACATAAGTTGCCATGGGGCTGCTGCAGTCAACCCAAGACACCCCATTATCCCCAAGGATTTCCTTCATAGCCTCTGCTGTACACCAACATGGATCCCTGACCAAGACCTGACTCATGCCTGACCTCGGGCAGGCTTCATGCTTCAACACAGACAGGCATGCAGGGCTAGTTAAAAGTTATCTTGCAATTGTATGCTTTACTGTAATATCATGCTTTGCATAATAAAGGATATTATGAGGGTTTGGGCCATTCACAACCAACAGGTTCTGGAACAGATTAGGAAAACATGAAGGCAAAGCAGCATTCAAGGAGAGGGACAAATTAACCATCAACCCAGAAATGCCACTTTGCAACCTGCAAGCGCTTGCATCCCCATGGAAAAGCATGTGGTGGGATGGACAGCAAGTGTCCCTGACAGCATTAGTGAGAGCAGTGCACGTTCATCAGCTCGCAAGCCTGGACTGTACAAGTGAGGGATCCCATTTCAGATTAATGGCAGCATCCTGCTAGCAAACACCGGCAAAACATGGACTGAAAGCTACAAAGCACTTCACAAACATATCTCCTGCCATGCTCTTTATATATTGCTTTTCAGAAAATTTTTAAACTTAAAGGTTTCCTTGCTTCATTAGGCAGGCAATGCCAGACCACTTCATTATTTGCATTGCAAAGAAAAATGCTCGGGTCTTTTAGAGAGAGAAAAACAATGTCATTAAATGATTAAATGATCACATAGCTGGCCAAGCCACTGCAGCAGTAAATGGCTCAGTCATAAAGAGGACAGTAAAACATGACCTGTCCCACATTTAATGAGCAATAAGAAGGAACCGTTCCTTTCAAACATCATTTGAACTGAAGTGTAAAGAGGTCTGAATTAAATTCAAATTGAACTTGATTTCATCTTTTAAATTAGACCTTTTGGAAGTCCATATTTACAATAGGCGTAAGAATCAAATCTCTCTCTCGAGGGAGGGGCATGACCAGTGAAAGATGTGAAGTGGCCATACCTGGATGCTTCATCACGTCATTGCCTTAAGAAATACCACAGAAATGTGACTTGAATGTCAGTAGTTTTACTGTATTATTTATAACGTGCTACATAATTTAAGGATGCAAAGACCCAGCCTGCAGCAGGTACTCCACACAGTCCAAATACCAGCATCGATACATCCTCAGTTGCCTCTCTAGCTCCAACTGTTAATTAGAGGTGTGGTGATCTGAAGAAATGTCTCCTGTCAACCAAGCATCTTTCATTTCCCTGAAGAACAAAGCTCTCCAAGCTCAGAAACCTCAGGGGATCTACCATTTGATTCAGGGAGTGTGGCCACCTCTCACAGCCAGCAAAGATCACCGTGCCAGATCATCCCATATGCCTCTTACTCAACTCCTCCCTTCCAAAGAGCGCTGAAAAGGGCTTCTGGAGAAATATCTCTGCTTCCCCAGCCTGCTCCATCCTTCTTACTCTACTGTGCCTCACTCAACCTGAGCCATCCTGTGATCAGTTAGAAGCTCTTCAGCAAATATCAAGTCCAACTTAGTAACACTGACAACACATATAAATAATACAGAGTATTTACAGAAGAAATCCCTTGCATCCAGAAACCTCAGCACTTTGCAGAGGTGCTGTGCAGAGGGACTGATATCTGACACCTGCTCTGCAAAGGCTGCTATCTGTTTTCACCCTATTTCACTTACACAGAGACCTGAAGAGTGGCTTGGATCAAGGGAGCCAAACCCTGAAAACCACCTTCCTGGCATCGCTTGCCATCACCAAGTCATCTCTCCATGGAGGAGATCCGAAAGACTGCCAAAGCTAACACTGTTGCTGAGTTCCCAAAGCTCCCAGGACCCACGCAGGCTTGAAATTGCTGCTCATTTAACATGACCTTCTACTTCTTCTTATGAAGTCAAAAGCAGAAAATTTGAGAGCTGAAAACAAGCCAGTCTGGGTAGAAATGTCTGACAGATTCTCTCTGTCAATCCCTGATTGACAAGGGCTGAAGGAGGAGGTTCAGCTGGTTGTGAAGAGCAGCCAAGCAACTGATTAATAACAGAAACATTCAAGGCCAGGTTGGACGGGGCTCTGAGCAACCTGATCTAGTTGAAGATGTCCCTGCCCACGGCAGGGGGGTTGGACTAGATGACCTTTAAAAGTCCCTTCCAACCCAGACTATTCTATGATTTTATGAATAAAGGAGACTGTTCTCCAAATGGGAGATGCTCCCAAAGGATGCCCCAGCTATGGACCAGTAGAAGCTTCCAGGTTCCCCATTGGGGTGAAGTCTGGATGAAAGACGCCTGCGGTTTGGGAGCTGCATTATTTATTTTTCCAAGATTTATGTGATGTTTTCTGGAGTCCATTCCCCGCCTGCTAACCGAGTGATTGGCACACCGGCACCAATTACAGAGATCTGTTAAAACGTGCCAGGCAATATGAATATGCAACAACACGAATGCCTTTCTTTTATAAGTAGCAAGTTGAAAGAAAGTAACAACTTTCTAATGTTGATCATTTAGGTCTTTTGTGAATTCTTTGTATTGTGCCATAGTAGCCTTCCACTTTTTAGACACATGGGTCTCCTGCTCCGGCGGACACTGGGCACTGTGGATTAGCATATTTAGAGTACATTGCAACAGTTGACTATTCAGTATGTGAAGTGGTGAAATTTACTCTATTATTTCTAAACACTTACGGGAACGGTGCTCCTGTCAACCAGTCAGCCATCTATTGCAAGCTTCTGTGTCCAATAAGTTACCAATTAATTGGCTCCTACAATTGTTGTATAGTTTACTTCTTGAATGGCTCCCTCTTTAGTAATTTCCTTCCCATTGTGCGACCCTTTCTGACAACTTCTGTATAACACTATCAGATAATCACTGTCTTTTCTCCCTCGCCTCACTTTTCTACATCTCTCTAAATAGTTTATTATTCTGCCTTGGTACCTTTTATGGAGGCCAGCTCAGTGGCCTGTCAGTTAAAGGGTAAGGATACATTAAAATCGTCATTCATTCAAAAGGCTTTGCAGTAAGTGCCCAGGATATTCATTTGTGCACACATACAGGTCCAAGCCTGAAGTGCGTAGCTCTGAAAGGAAAAGCCCTATCTTCCCTGAACAAACCCTTAATGATTTTACATTTCTCTCAGAGCCTGCTCTCTAATGAATGTTGACATTTCATGCACGGCAAGACACAGGAATTCTGTTTGTGGTCAGGGGCTACAACATATTCCCAAGGAAATTAAATTCAAAATTGATTGTGTGACACTCAAAAACTGGCCCAGAATTTGAATTATTTCCTTCAAGCAAAATATAGCTGCCTTTCCCACTGAAAACCAGCCAGGTTTTAGCAAAGCCAAAGCAAAAAGTACAAATGTTGTTTATGGCTTGCTTTCCCTTGCACCAGAAAGCTGTAAAAGCAAAATTGTTCTTTTGCTCCTTTCTGACAGAAGAAATGCCACAACATCAAAACTGTAAGCAAAGGGGTTCAGAGAGACACTCCAAAACAGCAACATGCCCTGTGCAAAGACCCGGCATAATGGCAATGCCACGACTCTTATTTATTTCGACCAAGCAAGAAAGATGTTCACATATAATTGACTTTTTTTGTTTAAATTAAGTTAGGCTTATTGCTACATCAGCTGCATCTCTCTCAGACTTTCTGGCCATGGATTTTTTTCTTTCTGGAAGCGGATGAAAAGGTGTTTTTTTCCAAGCTGAGTAAGTTAACTGGTTATTTAAGCTGAACCAGCGCTGTAGGAGGAACCTCTGGAAGGAGACCCTCACACATGTAAGGGAAGCCACATGTACAGAAGACAGATGCTCGGAGGACCTCCCCGTCCAGCGTAAACCCCTCTTCCTCCTGATCACACAGACATGGAGACATGAAAGCGCTTCCAAAATTGATGACAAATCCTCCAACTCATCTGAGAGCCTGTACGCCACATCGCTGTCGAGATCGGTGTAATACTAAACAAGATCTTGCAATGCTTTGGACAGGAAACATTCCTGCACGGGATCTCTTTCTCATTCAGTAGCTCTAATTCTGCTGCTGTGCTGCAAAGCAGCGTGGAGAGGGTATTTATTTTTGGTGGAAGGCAATGCTGAGCTCAGACCGTCCAGACAAACATCGTATGAAGCTATTACATCTTCATTACTGCACTGCTCTATAGAGACAAGTGTTTTGAAGAAGGTAATAAGCACTTATAATTAAGGCAATTATAAAGTAGTTTATTATAGTTGAGCACTAACGTAGAGCTGCCTTGTGTCCAAGAGAACCAAAACAGTGATACAGCCTATCTGGGGAATTTTTAAAACAGCATCAATCTGACGGTTATGGCTCTGGAGGAAAAAAAAACCCAGTTAGTGGCAGACACCAGCTGATTTTACAAGCCACCAGAGGATGCAAGCAGGAGGGCAAACATGGAGAAATTGTGCAATTGATGCTGGATACATGTCCTCATCCCCTGGCAGATGACTCTGGAGTGGGAAGTCGCCCTTCCCATGAGCGGGACCCTGACCCTTGGAGAGCCACGGGGATGAAGTCCCACATCCAGCACAGCAGCATGAGACAGGATTATCCCTGTTTGTGCTTCACAGCCACCTTGGGGGACTTGCGGAGATTAGCATCCCAAAATGACGTGACCTCGCAGACCACAAGGGCTTGGGAAATACTAACTGAACCCAACCCCACAGCGTGCATAGGTGAGTTACAAGCTCCGGACGATAAAACAAAAGCCATCAGCTCTTTGCTCAGCACAGATTTCTGTAGGGCAATGGAAGTGTTGCTCTGAGCTACTATCACAAAGTTAGAACTTAAAATAACCCTTGCCTTCAGACTGGGAGAAACACGGCACTTTGATTTCCTTGCTTGTATGACGCCATCAGATACTGCCTCTGGTTTTCATGCTGATTAAAAAAAGTTATCACGGACCCCAGCAGCAAGCATTTGTTTTCTCAGAGCTTCAGACACACGACTTTAAACGCTCTCTCCCCCGCAAAATTTTTTTAAAACTCCCTGAACAGGCAGCAAGTTTCTTTCAAGTCTGTTTTACGCGAAAGGTGTGTTTGTGTATGATTCTGCTTCTCTAGGCCAACAGTGGTGATGTTTTTGCTGCAGCTGAAGAAGATGCTGTCACTCGAGAAAAGATAAAATTATCACCTTTCATGAAACATCTACAGGTTTAACCAACCCACTTCTCTAACAGGTGAAAACAGGATCTTTGCAGAGAGGAAAAACAAAGTGTAGACATGAGGATAAAAAGCACTTCAAGCCTACAATTAACTTCCGCGGGACGGGAAAGGGTGAATCACTTGCTGCATAAAACAGCCAGTGGCACCTACCTGTTTCCCATGCAATGGCAATGGAGAGGAGGAGGAGGAAATCCCGGTCACCCCTGGGGCTTACCTAGGCGGCTCCAGGAGACGATGGGCCGGGGATTGCCTGTTGCAATGCACTCCAGCACAGCAGTCTGGTGCACCGTCAGCGTGAGGTTCTCCGGACCGACAAGAATCATGGGGTCCTTGTAAACGGTGGAGTGGGAGCCTGCAAGGACAGCATCATCGTTAAAAGGCATCTGGTTCTCTCTTTTTTAACGGAAACACCAAGTGCTTCATGCATTCTCTAAGTACAAAGGATGTGGCTGGTGCAATCCTCAGTAAATTTGAGATGGACATGAAACAAAAGGAGCACAACGTTTGCATGACAGTCATGTTGTCTGAACGTGTTTTAAGCGTGCGCTGATACTCCTGGGGAAAACCCCTCAGCCAACCCACCCAGCCACAAGCAGCCCTGTTAACACCCATGTATGGACAGCATAAATAAGGAACCGCGCTGTGAACTGCAGAGAGCAGATGAGCAGGAAAAACATGGTATATAGGGAGGACACAAGCTGTAGGACAGCTCGTGCAGACAGGAATGCAAACAAATGAAGGAGCTGCTTTATCTTTCAGCATCTCAAGCCATAAAGTAATGCAGTCCACAATGCCTAAATCTGCCTCTCTGCGAGCATCCTCTCTCGCTGCTGGTGTAATTTGCTCCAAAAGCCCTGTCCTGGGACACAGAGAGCGATGGAGGTGCCAGTCCCTGACTCCTGCTGAGGATCTTTTTGAGAGGAAACTCAAGGAAACTCCTCTGATGACTGCAGCTCACAGGGTGGTCATTTCCCTGCCTCCTACAGCACCCTTGTCCTGGCCCACTCTGGTGTAACTGGGTGCAGGGAGAGAATGCATCCCATTGCTCCGATATAATCGTGATACAATCATTGCTCATGATGCAATCACTAATCACTTATTTGCACTACAGTAGCACCAAGTGGCAGCAACCAAGAATGAAACCCATCATACCAGATGATACACAGACCCATAATAAAATAAAGCCCTGGCACAAGGACTCTGGAAACCAGACAGGCACAGGAGAAGCAAAAGAAATCACATTTCACCACACAGGAGGAGACCACGGGACAAAAACACCATCCTGTGTCAGGTATACCACAGCTGAACTCATCTCCTGACTCCCCAGAAAGTGCCTGATCCCTGGGCCAAAGCTCCCTTCAGCCTTCACTCCCATTTGTTGGGAGCAGGAGAGGAGGAAAAGGAGGAGGTATTCTCAGTTCTCCATCAGTAAACAGGAACACTGATAATCTCTGTATTAGTCTTCTCCCCATTTCCGACGAGAGCTGGGTTATACTCCAGAAATGCTGAGGTCAAGCAGTGTTTAAGGAATTTCAACAATCTGACAGCTGCTGCTGGCAAAAATGCTCTGTACACCTGCGGAGAGAAATACTTGGGCTGGTTGTCCGCCCCCGAGCAGGAGAGGGGCACAGGGAGGGCTGGGGAGCTGAGGGCTCTGCTGCAGGGACCATCCCACGCTGACTCCTGTACATGGACTTTCCGATGTCCAAAAAACTTGTTAAAGAGAAGTGATCCACCAGAAACTATCTGCGAAGGCTTTTCTCCAAGAAAAAATTTCTTTTCTTCCTACACTTTTTAGCGTTACCCTTTCGCAGCAGCTCAGGGGCTGAAGTCAGGGCATTAGCAGGGGTCCAAGGGCAAGCACAGATCAGAGCGGCTCGTTTGTTAATCGTTCCTACAGGGGCTAAAGGGGGAGCGATAAAGCGACTCAGAGGTTGTGTCTAAATGGGTAAAATCCAAGAAGAATCACCGTGTCAGTGTGACTTAAGAGCTGACTTGCTCACTAAATGCATTTCACTGCAAGCCATAAAATGCAGATTTTTTTTATGAGAACCAGAATGCACAATAAATTCATATGACCGGCTGGTTAACCCCAAGAGATCTGAAAAACAATACCTTCCCCCTCAGTACCTCGGAGTGCCTTTAAAACCCATGTAGATTTATTGTTCTAAATCACAATACTGAATGTTCATGCTTAGAATAATACGATATTATCACCGTATTGTATAGTGATTTCAATATTTCAAAACACAGAGAAATGAAATGAATTGTCCAAGGTCACCCAAGAATATCAGTAAGCGGGAGCTGAGACCAAAGCAGAATTTATAAAACTCTCTATTTTGACAATAAAATATTAAAAAAATCACACACTCTGATTTATACTCTGAGTCCTAAATAGGCATTCAGGTTTTCAGGTGTAAGCTCAACTCCCTGAGTTTGGCCAAACCCTGCCCAGCTCTGCAAGTGGCATTTCCAATGCCGCTCACCTTCTCCTGCAAAGGCCACGTAACGGTCCTGTAGCTTTGCTGCCAAGTTCAACGCCCCCAGCAGTGCCAGCTCCAGGGCCAGAAGGGATGGTGACCCAGCAGGGACACGGTGGTCAGATGCCAGCACCATGCAAAGGGGTTGACCGTGCCCGACCATCGAGGAGGAGGTTTCCTTGTCCAACCAGAAAAGCTCTTTGATGCAGGGTCAGGAAGGAAGGAGTGACAAAACGAGGGACTCATGGCAGGTGAGTGCTGCTGGAGCACAAAAGGGTTCAGGGCAACGTGGGGGGGATCTGTTTTGAAAGGGAAAAAGGCTCTAATGATGCACATGGTCCCCAGGGACTCTGCCAGCAGCAATCGCAGTGAGGACGAGGAGGTCCCCGAGACCGCCACGAGTGACAGGCACTCTAGCAGGGACGGGAGCATCGCTGGCATAGGCTGTTAGATCTTGATCAGAAGGACAGCAGCAGAGAGAGCCGCAGCTCACACTGGAAAGGTGTCAGCGCAGAGAGGCAGGCAACCCCTCGGGAGCATCTCCGCTAAGCAGGCACTTGAAAATAATCAATCACCATGGCTGGAAGACATATCCGTGCTGCTTGCTGCTGGCAGTCCTGCCACCGCTGCCGGTGAGAGAAAGGAAAGTGCTTGCGAGCAGGCTCCTTCATCCCCCATAGGCAGCCATCCTCCTCCTTTTCTCCACAGCCGGGCTGTGGCAGTGCCCTGCAGGGCAGCGGCTCCCAGATCCCATCTCCATCCTCTCCCTTCTCCCTCCTCAGCCAGGGCTCAGTTTGGAAACCCTGGTGAGGCGGACCCGGTGCTTCTCTGTGAGTAAAGCATTGGCTGAAGTTGCTGCCCCGTTAAGAGGAGAGGGAACCCTCCTGCCATGATGAAGAGCAGAGAGCACCATTCCCTTTACCCCTCTACACAAGAGGGAGGCGATGGAAAGATTTGCAAGATTACTGCTTACCCCATCATGCCTAATGACATGCACACAACAGCACTCACATTAGTTCCATATTTACTGATAAAACACCCACACCAGTGAAGCAACGTCCCTGTGCTACCTTTGTGGCACACCATAGCCTCTGCCGGTGTGCCAAAGCCTAGAGTTAACATGCTAGCACATACCCGCTGTCCTGGTCTAACAGATATTTGTGTGCTCTTAGCAAACACCACAGAGCATAAACCTTTTTCAGTGAGGTTTAACCCATTGCAATGGGTTTTCCGTGCAAACGCTCCATTACGGCAGCTCTGCTGCCATGCAGTCACTGAAGCACGGTCCAAGCCCTTCAATAGACACTTATACGCGGTGCCTGTATTCATTATCCGACTGCTTTAAGGAAGAGAAAAACCACAAACGTTTCACAGACAGGAAACCTGGAAAACATCCATCTGAAATGAGGGATGGTCAGATGAGAACAACTAGTACTTTCTGCCCTGCCTGCGAGAAATAATAACTCAGACCAGTAAATTGACACAAAGAACTTCACCACGTTGATAATTTACTGTTCTCTTTTCCCTCCATGTGGTTACCGTTTGCGTAGATCAAGAAAACAGATAAGTAACAGGCATCAAAAACTCCCAGGTCTTTCAGAACCAGTTAACCTGCTTTCTTTCCCCATCAGAGCTGATATACACAGCATCACTCTTTCCTCAGCTCTACCCCATTTCACACATTCTGCTTTTTTACAGTCAGCAGAGGCTAATCTGACATTCGGTGCATGCGTTAAGTTTCCTAGTCCAGAACCACTGCCCAGACAGCCGTTTCAGAGGCTGAAGGCAGGCTGTGAGATACGAGCGTACACTGGGAAGCCTCCAGCCACCGGGTACCAGCAATTATGTGTATCTGATGGACAGGAGGATCACAGCTCACGGGGCAGGGAAGACCCTTTGCTGCAAATAAAAAAAGCTCACGGAGAAACACACACCCAACCAGCCCTGTGCAGACTTCCCTTGCCTCTTATCTCCAAAACTGTCATCTCCATTTCCACAAGGAATCTGGGCTGGTCCCCTAACCAAGAGCCACAGATGCATCACCACTACTGTCACAGGGGACCACAGTGGGTACCCAGCATCCCAGGGGGGTTCTGACTTGCATGGAGTCCTGTATCTCAGAGGGTGACTACTTCTTCGGCACTCTTGTCTTCTCTGAAGGTAACCCACAAATGCTCTGTCGTCCAGGAGAAGCAAGCTGTCCTGTTTTCATACAAGGAGGATGAGCATATCAAAGACATTTCTAAGAAGAGGGCACAAAGGTGTCGTTCACTCCTGGCTGCTTGATTGGGCTGGGTCATATGATTTGACCTAATACTTCCCGTTTCTTTCATACTAGGAGCAGCTACTGAAACATCAAGAGAGACTTCTGAAGCTAAAAGTGTTTTAAATTAAAAAGACTGACAAACAAAGAAAGCCTAGCTAGAAGGTGACAATCTAACATCAGGTTTAGAAATTGGCTGACGAGTTATTGCTCGAAGGGGCTCCAAGAGATCAGCTTGGGTCCCACACGGACAGCTAACAGAGGATGGGCAACAGGCAGGTCAGCAGAGGGTAGCACAGCTATGGAAACGTGGTCGCGCCGTATTTGCACCCCAATCCTTCCTTCACTGTGCTCAAGATCATCACTTCCACGTGACATTTTGTGTGCTTTCACAAACAGGCCAAACTTGCACACATGCAAAGTGAGGATGTGGGTTGCTTTGGTTTGCTTTAGAGCTTCATCACATCCTACCTCCAGCAGCATGAAACCAAACAGCAAGTATGTGATTTTGGCCCTTTTTTTGGAGAGGACACCATAAGGCACCGTCATTTCTTCAACTGGAGCTTTCAGAAGTGAAAACCTGTTTCTGCCACTGACTTCAAATGTGGATGGAGAACCAAGTCAAAATTCAGCCTGGGGTGCTCAGGGCTTCTCCTTCTCATCTTCCAAAGCAAGGCTAGCCCGCTTCAGTCACAACGCAATGCTAACAGCCTACAGAATGTAATTCCCCCATTAGATAAATAATTGATCACCCTGTGTGCTGCAATTACTTCCAGAGTGGGCAGGTCTCATAAGGAAATGATGAATCTTCCACATTTTCAAAAGAATTTATTTAATGTAAAGCTGCTGTAACTCATTTTCTCACCGTCCTCCCTCTACCCAGAAACTAGTGCTAATTTACAGGCAAAGAGACAGATTTATCTGCTATCAAATGGACTGATCTGGCAGGAACTAATAACAATCTAGAACAAGGAAGGTGCTATGGCTGGATAGAGGGATGCTTCTCAGTGCTGTTAACCTAAAGCTCTCTTAAACTACCCTGGTCCAGACCAGCAGCGGGAAGAAGAAGATGGAAAGACAGTCAGAAGACTGTTTACTGGTACTAACCTGACACGGTGAGTCTGGCCTCCCGGCTGAACTTCACATTAGCAATATTGGTAGCAACGCAGTGAAAAATCCCACTGTCTTCTGCCCTCAGTCCCGTAATCTGCAGGACCCCCTTGGGAAGCAGCGTGTACCTGCGGGAAGAGAAAAGCAGAAACAAAAACTTGCAAAGCAGGACATGATGTGAAAGCAGGCTGCACACCCGTGGAGGTGGGGCAGGCTGGCTCCCCGCATCCCGGTGCAGAGGTGCCAATACCACCCTAGTGATGCAGCCCCTGGCAGGCTGAGCCCACACTTATCGCGTGCATCAGTTCTTTATTTTTTTGGATATTTGAGCCTCTGGTCTTCTTTTACAGGGGGTACGTTCCCTTCTTTTATCTTCTAATGCATCCTTGAGAAAGGATGACTTTTGCTGGAAGGCTATGAAGTAGATGCTTCCTATTTAACCTGTGGAAAAACTTTGGCAGTGCATTTGCACGTGAACACAGCTGACCTGCAAATTATCACTCATCAGCTGAAGCACAGTGATCATGGACAAGCACCAGGGGAAGTGTGGGCTCCACACTCCCAGCTCCAGGTCCAGGACTCAAATCCACCTAACTTTAAAACCTCAAATGTGTGGAAAGGCACGTTTAAAATAGATACTGAGTGGGCATACATAAATATCAATACATATTTTATATATTTAAAACATAGGTACATTTAAATCATGCATGCATACACACATATATGTATACATACATTACAGGTTGCTTGGCAACTGTGTGTTTAAATTGGCTGGTAGTAAGTCATTACATTGTGATGAGTTAATAATCCATTTCTGCCTGGAAGATGAAGAATATCTTTTTCCTGATCAGCATATGGTTAAGTGCCTATAACCTGCTCCCTGTGCTGGGTTCCAAACGCGTGTCTCGGTGTCGGTGGCAGCGTGACAGCAATCAGTTTTACATGTCCTGAAGTTGATTGCAATCTCTCTGGGACTTTAAAATGCCCATTGTTTTGGATGAATTATACCACAAGAAGCCTTCATTTTTGTTAACAATCTGCCCACAGCATTAGAAGATTCAATTCCAAAGCTATTATTCTGCCTTCAAAGCCTCCAAGTGCAAGACTCGGCATACAAATTTATATACACTTTATACGCAGAAATATACCAAGCATGATTAATGCAGAAATCCAATTCAGTTAGAGGAGCAACCCTCATCACCCAGGCCTGTTGATGTCAGAGATTAATCTACCAAGCTGACAATAAAAACCTTCCCCAGTAACTGTACTGCTACAAAAAGCCAAATCTGTTCAAAATCAGGACACTGAACATAGGGCAACTGCTCCTAGCCCACGTCCTCCAGGGCTTGGGCAAGCTCCCTGCCCCGGAGGAGAAGCAGCGGAGATGAGCACAGCTGGGTCTCTCTGGGTTGGAGAAAAGTCTTGGCTCCTCAGCCTTGGGGCTCCTCAGCCCTGCAGAAAAGAAGTCCTGGTCACACTCAAATCCCTGCTACATCTCTGGTCATCTCCACACCCGTGACCCTGGACTCAAATGGAAAGGGGCAATAATGCATGAGGGACTTCAAGGGAACTTCACCTGTCCCGCAACGTCTCATCAGGATGCACACAAGGTGTCAGGCCCGGATCTGCACCCCTTACTTCTGCTGATAGCACCTTGGACCACTTGCCCTGCTCTGCCACATCCCCAGTTTAGCGCTTGTGTGAGTAAGGAGCCTTCAGAGGAGATCAAGTTTAACAAATCAACCCTGTGCTGGGCTAAAAAAAGCTCAGATAAAAAACACAAGGAAAACCAAAACCTGACAGTTGCAGTTTTCCACGGCAAGGTTGGGCCTCTTGGGTCCTTCTACTGTAAGTTCACCACAACGCTGAAAAGGTCAGGCATTGTTCCAGCCCTCGTGTTTTCTCCTGCCTCCAAAGCACCCAACCATGTTCTGTTGCAGAACTGACATTTTTAAGAATAGGGGCTTTCAGGAAAATATTTACAGCTTCCTGGTTTCGCCTATTCCCAACGCACAGACGTCAATTCACGATCCGAGGTGTGCTACGACCGATTGTCTTCCACCATCGGTTGTGCGGCTCCTGAGCTGCAGCTGGGACTGCCGGAGGCTGCCGGCACAGAGCACGCGTTTCCTGCCACCTGTCCTCCGGCGGGCTCCACCGCCGCTTGGAGGATCAAATCGTGATGAGGGACGTTTCCGACGCGAAGGGAGCAGCCTGTCAAACACAGGAAGCGAGGACGTGCCGTCTCAGGTCTAGGCTGGGGAAGGAGGGCAGCTGGGGCTTCTCTTTAGGAAGGTTGCATGGGAAATGGCACCCCAGGGCGCTGTGGGATGCTCTCTGCAGAGCTTCCCTGCTGCCACACAAAGCATCATGAGGGAGTCCACCTGGGAAGGGAAGTCTAGCTGCCACAGTGTAATTCAGTGCTTGCAAGAGTTCAGGACCCACATGGAAGACCCTAAGTCATGGATCTGGGTCGGAAAGAGTTGCACAAAATGGAGCCACAGAGGGATGATGGATGCCAAAGCTACCCCAGCTCTGCTAGGATTGCTGGTGGGCTCTTCATGCTGGAAAGTAAACCTGAAGGAGGGCTGATCCTCTCAGGGAAGGTCAGTGCAAACCCTTGCCCCCTCCAAAATCAGCTAACGGGGTTTATCTAGCTCTCTTGGAAAATGCAGTATTTCTGCACAGTGTTTGGCCAGAAGGAGCTCAGACAACCCACAACATTGATTTAAAGAGTCTTCCATGTCAGAAACACTGGCCAAGACCCTCAGCCCCAATCAGTTGTGTCCTAGCACAACCATGAGAGCAAGAGCAAGCCTGGCCACATTTTTCCACCTGGAGAAAAGACAGCAGTACGTGGTTTGGACATGTCCTACCTTTCGTTGTCTGTGTTGACTGGCATGCGGTTCTTTTGCCAGAGGATGACCGGCTCAGGCAAGCCATGGATCTGGCACTGGAATCTGGCTACACCACCTTCCTCCACCACTGCGTTCTGAGGGTGGATGTGGAAGTCGGACATCGCTGGAAGACACAAAGAGAGACAAAAATATTCACGTGTGCATAGAAAAACAAGACTAGTGGCAAGTTCTTGCTATACATCTGCCTCTGCACATTGAACTGATTGACTCAGACAGGACAGGAGACAGCGCTCCATGACCCACATGCTCCGCAGCAAGGTCTACAGGGCAGTGAGAAGCACAGACACTGCACTGGCACTTATTGGAGGTCATTCTCAACAGCTTCAACAGGCTTTGGATCCAAGCTCACATCAGAAAAGAGATGTCTATCCTTTCCATTGCTGCCAATACCTTATCTGCTGTAAACGTCCTTCCGATGTGCATGGCTTGACTATTTTGTTTAAATACCTTCACCAAAAGAGCTCCCAGATACCCTAGCAAAACTTACACCCCCTGATTTCTCTGTTTGCATGTGCTCCAGCTCATTGCATACTCTGCCTTCCAGTACTGCAGAAAGAACGGTCACATCCCTGTGCTTTGGAGCAACAGGCTTCAGCTGATAGAAAGAGCAGCTGCCAAGAGCTCAGCAGCTCAGCTCACCCAGGCTTTTGGGGTTGGGACTACCCGACAGCGAATGACAAACCTCAGCGTGCCCATGCAGGATGAATACAGACCAGCCCGTTTCAGCACAGGCACAGCTGTAACCATTGTGCAGAAAGACTCTGGCATGCTGTTAGAGCTACATAAATAATACAGTAATTATTACTATTAATTAATTGGAAGGTGCTGCCTGTTGACTCTGCAATAAACATATTTGAGGCTAATAAACATCCCAGTGGTTATTGAGCTCATGATTCATTTATAGAGCTGCATCCGTGGGAAGATCTCTCACGTTATCATACAAAATAAACTCCAAGAGAGCCCCCCGCTCTGCCACCCCAGCCCGATAATACCCCTCTCCCCAGCGAGAAAGCCTCGTCCCCTTTTACATGCGTAAAGTGTAATGAATGTACCTCTGCTAAGGAACAAGCTGCAAATGTGTCAGGGCAGCTTAATCATTCATCTGCAAACTCCAGTTGGGCTCAGGCAGATGGGAGACGGCCATTAGCAATCATACATTAAATATGTGTTGCATTAACCCGCACTGCTCCCCCAACCACTGCTCTCAACCCGCTGACTGCAGATTTGTTAAGCTGATTGAGTAACACGCAGCAAAGCTCCGGCCGCACACGGCCATAGGATTGGGAAGGAGGGATGGGATGGGCAGCTAGCCCCACATTGGGATACAGCGATGGGAGCAGGACCGGGAGGTGGCTGTGCAATGCTCCAGCCAGATGGGAACACACCAGCACAAGGGAAAAGATCATGCAAAAATATACTTCCTTTTCCCAAGACGAAAGCTAATGCAAATATCCTCTCTAGTAAGGGATGGAGCACAATGGTGGAATGGCAATTTACCCTATTCATACACATTTAGCCTTGAAGTGAGACTGCTCGTGGCCCAGAGCACTCAGCCACGTGGGAAGGAGCCCAAAGGCTGCTGGGGGGTCTCCCATACCAGGTGATCCCCCTTCCAAGGTGGCAAGGCACGCTTCAAAAAATGGGGGGTCCAGGGGTGCCTGTGGCAGGAGAGCTCGAGGGAGCCTGCAGAATATTTCAAGGCTGCCATTTGGAGACCAGGCCAGGGTGAGCATCTTGCAACTAAAGCTTATGAAGTCTCACCAAGAAATGAATCCAAGAATTAAAGAGAATGACACAAAGCTCTTTAATAAAGAAAAAAAAAAAGCAAAGAAAAAAAAAAGCAGAGATTCAGATGCCTGCAGGAAAATTCCTTTCAAATGTACAGATGCTCAGCACTGAGGTTTTTCGGTGGCTGACAGGGTTGATAAGAAGAGGGAGGTGTGAATGAGAACAGCCCTGGCACAGACTTCACTCTGCTGGCTACAGAATTCATTGCCGTTCCTTTATTTCAATAATATCACCTCTTATAGGTAAAACTGCAGCAATAACCTCTACTCTTAAAGACACTAGTATTAATATTTATCATGAATAAAACATGGGAAGTTATAAATAATTCAGTTATGAGGATGTTAAGTAAAATATTACTCTTCAACAACCCTATAATGTGGCTTTGAAGCACAGTTTTATGTTAAATGCCTAGGAAACACTGTGACCCTTGCCAAGACCAGCTGGTTTGCAAAAGATGCATTAAAAATTCATGCACTGAGCTACAAAATGCTATTTTTAAAACAGGTTTACGAGTTTATTTACAGTTGCAGAGACAAAAGCTTTTGTAGATCTCCTGTAAAACAAAACTTGAATGCGAGTGATTACCTGGGATGCTGTTTTCAGCCTGAAAATAAATCACTGGGTGTAAGGAGAGGAGAGGGAGAGGAGCACAACTACTTTAGAGGGCAGATTTAGCCCCCCATCGCTTGGAGGGGCTAAATCTCTGCTGACCCACGTGAGATTTTATGTATGTCCCAACTGACTGTAACAAACTCATACAGGAGAGTGCTTGCTCCTATTTGTCACTTGTCTTTCAGCAGCAAACACCAGGACCCCTGTTATCAAGCAGGCACTATTATTTCAGCCGCCACGGAGAAGAGCTGCACACCAGCCCGGGTGGGGTTGGCCAGCAGCCAGGGAGCTGCATCTCATTTCTATGCTAATGGCCATAATCATTTTAAAAATAAATAGATGCAATCACAATATTCACCCGCGAACTCCAAAGAGGGGAGGCACCCTCGAATCCATCTGCCTGCGGTCTCTGTCGTCCAGCAATGCAGCATCTGCATGCCAACAGAGGGACTGGTGCTGCCCCAGGCCCCTCTTTACTGTCATAAGACGGGGTGAGTGTCACCCTGTTCCCATTCAACTTCTCTCTGCCATCTCCACAGTACCGTCCACACACAGGGTGAGCCTAGGGTAGTCATCAAATCAACCTAAATCATGCACACACTCATCGTTCCATATCGATGCTCCAAGCCATGGTGTCTCAGTGCTTCTGCTATCATCACACCTGGATTTTGGCCATGGTACACACAGGCTGGCACTGGGCAGGGAAAGCCACAACAAAATGGGCTCACAGCAGATGGGGAATGGACCTAGCAGCCCTCCCACGCTGCAGGCATGGGTGCACCTTCTCCCAAAGACTTTGGCCAAGGCTAGATTCAGGCTGAGTTGTCTACAGCCACACTAACTCATGAGGCAGAGGAGTTAGTCTTCATCTCTTCTTCCCCCATGTTGTATCATGGAGGACCTCAAATATGAGGCTGAATCACAGGTGAGGCTCCTCCCTAAAGAGAAACCCATGCTTAGGATCTCCCACCACCTAACCCTCACCAGGACACAGTTCCCAAAGGCATGTCCTACGGACATAGTGCAGGTGAGCAGCAACTCTTATCCTCATCCATATTCACAGAGGATTTGTTCTGGCAAACGAATTTGCTGGGTCTCCCCTAATCAAAGTGCAAACACTCTCTCCATCCTAACAGGCCTTGTGGAAAGGCCAACGGAATAAAAATGAAAATAGGTATCGAGTGAAATTTTCTTTACTCCACGAAAAACTAAATTGAAACCATTAGTGGCCAATCCTTTTTTGCTCAGTACAGCATTAGTGCTAAGCCAGAGATTGACCTAGATTTGACATAGAAAAGGAAAACATTAACTCGGTATGTCAAAGCAAATCCCAGGCCTGTTAGAATCATTAAAACGCAAACATTATTATCAACTGCAGGCACAAGGGGAGGAAGAAGACTTGAAAGGTTCAGTGCCAAGCCCGGTGTTAGGAGAGTATTTGGGAAGCCCAGCTAGTTCTGCAATCACATTGCTTTTTGCTTTTAAATTATTTACGGGGAAACAGATACCCAGGTTGGCTCTGACACAAGAGGATGCTGGGGAGGAGCTGAGCATCCTCATCGACACTGACACCAGGCAGTTCACAAACAACACCCCACAAGCGAAGACCCTTTCTCCACATTTCTACTACCAACCTGTTAAATTCAGACCTCTTCCAATGCAGGCACGTGGTTAAAATGTCTCAAAGTTAACACAGTACAAGGAACAAGAGTTTAATGGGGATATGCCTCCACTACCTGCGCTCCCAGACACCCCTGCCAAGGTGGACAAGCTTCGTTAGCTCCATTAAAACTGATGAAGGTGAACCCTGGGAGGCAAATGGTTTGCCCAGCGTAAGAGAACAAGCCACAGGCAGAGCTGACCCCTTCCAAGTGTGGCTCCATCCCGATGCTGGCGACAGCTGCTAATTTTCACACTGAATTTCCCAACTCACTAATAAAATTGTATTTCCGCTCGGGTCAGCAGAAGTCAGGGTCTTTTTTAAAACACAACGACCACCATGCCAATTAAACCTAGACCTAAACCACTCTCAAATCAGGCTGACAGCTCCAGCAGAACCAACCCTTGGTATCTATGAGATTTATGAAGCCCCCAACCTCCTTGGCACCGCAACTCCTTCCCAAACGCTTTCCCTGCCCCAAAGCAAGCAGAGGGATTACATCTCCTTCCATTCCCTCCTGGCTTAGGAGACCTTCACCATTAAGTTAGCCGGGGAATATTTTCAAGGATGATGTCAGGTGAAGGCTGAGCAGACACAGGTCTTGTATTTGCTTCCCTCCGCGCTCTGGAAATAGAGGATTTCCCTGCAAGAAAGAGCCGGCACAAAAGATGGGGGGAGTATGGACACCACAAATCCCATCCTCTCCTCTCTTCCCCCCCGCTTTCAAACAGGGATGCTTTCCCAAGTCTTTAAGAAAAAGACACTGTATCTTCTTTCTCTACATTTTTTTTTAAAGATGCATTTTTATAAATATGAAAAAAAGCCCATGTCACAACAGCCCAGTGGCTACTCCAGCTGCAGAGCAGCCTCTGTGCCTGTGAGCCGGCCCTGCGTGTCTAATGATGCTATTGTGCGAGGTTGTTGCTGAACTGCCGTGAGCCCAATTTTGAATGCAAGTTGCTTTGTGCATAGTGAAGCGTGAACAACAGCGCCGCCCATTTATCTATTTAATTCTCCAGGAGTAGCAGGAGCGGGGGCCTTCG